ATTAAAAGTAAATAAAATTATTCAAACAGTTTATCACTCACGCATTTCAAGCACCCAGTAGCTTCTTGTGACTAGTGGCTGCCTTGTTGGATAAGGCAAATCCAGAATATTTTCATCCTCACAGTAAATTCTGTTGGGCAATGCTAATCTAGTGACTCAAACAGAGCCTTTATAAAAAAGAAAGCATTTAGGGCAAGAATCTCCCTCTGCCTAGCACCCAGCTTTTCATTTGCATCTACTTTCTCCTCCTTAATGAGGATTTAACGTTTTCTTCTAACACATCTATCTCAGCATGACAAAGCAGGGATTACCTTATTTGCAATGGTTCCAGCAGTGATTATTTCTCCTGATGATCCTATTAAAACTATATCCCTCTGATTTAATAACCTCAGAATCCTCTCTCCTAGGAGACACAGTTCGAACCGGAGCATTTCCACAATACTATTGTGTGTGAGAAACCCAACAACAACCTCAACAAATTTAAAGGCTACATGTAAGTATCTAATGCCTGTGGGCTGCTTATAAATCTCTTCTCTGCAACTAGAAAACATATTTTCATGAAGTGGCATCCTAACATGTGGAACTTTATTCCTTTTAATTAGAGGGAGAAAAAGAGCCAGGGACCTAAAGAAAGTTGGGATATACCTTTTTTACTTGTTGTTGTTATGTGCCATCGAGTGGAATATGACTCATAGCTCCCTATGAGCATTAACTCGGTTATGCAGCAGAGAGCTGGACAATGATTAAGGAAGAAAGAAGAAAAGTTTATACCTTTGAATTGTGATGCTGAAGAAGAGTACTGAACATACTGTGGTCTGCCAAGAAAACAAACAAGTCTCTCCTGGAGTGGGTGAAACCAACTTGTTCCTTGGAGGCAAGGATTTTGAATCTGTGTGTGACATACTTTGGGCATGTTGCCAGGAGGACCCAGTCCTTGAAGAAGGGCATCATGTTTGGAAGGGTGGAGGGTCAGCACAGGAGAGAAAGACCTTAAATGAAATGGATTTGGTGTTGGCATAGCAGTTAATTAATCATCTTGCTAGATTAAAGTCACTAATGGTTCTTTAGGGAACTCTGGTGGCCTACTAGCAAGAAGCTGTGCTGCAATCCTGAAGGCAAGCGGTTCGAGACCACCAGCTGCTCTGCAGGAGAAAGGTGGGCAATCTCCTCTCATGCAACTGCCATTGAAAACCCACTGGAGAGTCAGCTATGGGTCGGTTCCTATACTTGATGGCACACAACAAATACAACCATAATGGTTCTCTGATGAAATTGCATAAGAAACAAGATCATTTTCTTGTTGTTAGATGCCAGCAAGTTGGTTCCAACTCGTGGCGATCTTATAAACCACAGAACAAAGCACTGCCCAGTCCTGTGCCATCCTCGCAATCATTGTTATATTTAGCCCACTGTTGCCTTCACTTTGTCCATCATCTTAATGAAGGTCTTTCTCTTTTCTGCTAAACCTCTCCTTTATCAACCATGAGGTCCTTCTCCAGAGATTGGTGTCTCCTGGTAACATGTCCAAAGTATGTAGGATAAAGTCTCACTGCTCTTGTTTCTAAGGAGGCAGATATAAATTATTGTTGCTGTTGTCTGTCGTCAAATTGAAACTGACTCAGAGTTGACCCTCCAGCAGGTTTTCAAAGGGAGTAAATTGCCTGGGAAGAGATTGCCAATCCTTCCTCCATGCAGCAGTGGATATATTCAAACCTCGAGCCTCTGTGACTGCAGCACAGCTTCTTGTCACTATGTCACAGAGCCTGCCTGGCATTGTAGTCAAGAAGACAGGATTTGGATTTCCACTTACTTGGGTTTAAGATATTGTTCTATGCTTAAAAACTGTGTTACCTTGTGTAAATAAATGAACTTCTTTGAATCTGCATTTCCATATCAATATAATAAAGATTGGAATCACTAGTAGTGCAGGTAACCTGCTGTGTTGCTAACTTAAAGATCCGAAGTTCGAGAACACCCAAAGATGCCTTAAAAAGAAGGCCTGGTGGTATACGACAGAAGAAAAATCAGCTTTTTAAAGCCCTACTCTGGTGGCCTAGTAGCAAGAAGCTGTGCTACAACCCCGAAGACACGCTGTTCAAATCCATCAGCTGCTCTGCAGGAGAAGGATGGGCAATCTCTTCCCACGTGATTAACTGCTGCTGAAAACTCGCTGGAGGGTCAGCTATGAGTCAGTTCTGACTTGATGGTGCACAACAACATTTTTTAAAAAGACCAAAACTCTATGAAGTAGTTCTCTGATTCATGGTGACGAGAATCAAAGTCAACTTAGTGGTAAATGGCTTTTGTTTTCTAAAATAAAGATCAATATATTATTAAAAATGTATAATAACTCCTTTTTCTTCTAGTAATTAAATGGTTTAACATTTTCAAAGCACTTACTTACCTGTTGCTGTTAGGCACTCTCAAGTCGACTCTGACTCATAGTGGAAGATTGGAACGTTGCTGACGCTGAGCTGCCCTCCCAATCCCCAATGTGCTTAAGTCACATTTTTGCATTCATTGTGTCATCCCATCTCACCGAAGGTCTGCTTCTCCTACTCTGATCTTCCACCTTTCTCAGCATGGTGCCCTTTTCTAAGGATTGGTCCCTTCTGACACCATGATCAAACATGTGAGACCAAGTCTCACCATCCTTGCAAGTAAGGATCAGCCTAATAGCACTTCTTCCAGGATAGATCTGGTTGTTCTTGTGGTAATCCATAGGATATTCAGTACTCTTTCTTACTTGGCACCATGTAAATATTATTTTAATGATGACTGCTACTATGTTGTTGTTATTATTGTTATGTGTTATCAAGTTGCCTGTGACTCATAGGGACCCTGTGTGCAACAACTCTGAAGCCTGCCCTGTCCTGAGCCAGTCTCACTGACTCCTACACACTTACCCTCATCACGCCGGCTACTGTGTCAATCCATCTCATCCAGGGTCTTCCTCTCTTACACTGTCCCTCCACCTTTCTGAGCAAGATGTCCTTCTCCAAGGACTAGTCCCTGCTGGCCACTTGCGCATAATGTGAGACAGAGTTTCAAAATCCTAGCTTCCAAGGAAAAACTTGGTTTCACTCTCTCTGAGGCAGACCTGATTGCTCTCTTGGCGATCCAATTTCCATTTGCTTGGTTCCACAATCAAAACTCTTTGCAGTAGCAGTCAGGAAATTAAAACACAAAACACATTGTGAAAACCTGTTGTCGAGGACCTCTCTAGAGTACTGAAGAGCAATGGTGTCAGTCTGGAGACAAAGGTGCACCATGATCTTTGTAATGACTTACCAGGCATCAAAGAGCTGGACAATGACTAAAGATGATAGAAGAAGAATGAGTGCTTTTGAGTTGTAGTGATGGAGAATAGGGAGAAGAGAGTTGAAGACTTCCAGGAGAACAAACAGGTCAGTCCTGGAGAGGGTTAAACCAGGCTGCTCCCTCGAGGCAAAGATTTTGAAGCTCTGGCTCACATACATTGGGCACGTGGAGAGGAGACAACCTGTTTAAAAGGGTGGAGGGACAATGCAGGAAAGGAAGACCCAGAATGAGGTGGATTGACTCAGTGACTGAAGAAATGGGATTAGGTCTATTGTAGACAACAAGATTAGCTCAAGATAGGACAAGGTCAGAACAAATCTGTATAGGGTCGCTATGAGTTGCAGCTGACTTGATGGCACATAACAAGACATTTTCAAGATTCACTCAAAGTCACAACATAACAGGTATGAGATAAAGTCAGGACTTAAGTTCAGATGATTTGTCTCTATCTCCAGTGCCTTATCCATAGCTCTGCAGACTGAGCTCAACCATGGTATGGGGTCTGCTCTACCAATAGGTCTGAAGCGCGGTCTGCAAGTCTCTGAGTGTCATGGATGTCAATGCCGTCTCTTTGCCCCTATTATCTGAGATCATATAAGATACAATGAGGAAAAATATGAGAGAGGAAAGGGTAAGAACAAGATAATACAGGGAGGATCTTTTAAAGGCAAATTTTCTTTCAACATTCACACAGAAAGAGCAGGTGAAGACAAAGAAGGATGTGGAGATGTGGACTCACTCTAAAGTGGAGCTGCTCACTGCAGCCATCTAGAGAGGTAGAGTTGGCCACTTGCTCTAGTAGAGTGCACCCCATGGCTGAGGTTTGTGGAGCTGGCTCATACCAAGTCACTTATGCCTGAGTCGTTCTCCTTACTTCCTGGCAAGTCTAGCTGGGCTTCTATTTATGACCATTTCTCTGGCAGGGGCTTGTGCCAGCAGCCAGCCTTGCTCTGCTTTCAACCTGGGCTTGGCCCACCCATCTCAGAGATGGATTACAGGGTAGAACTTTCCCAACCTGCTCAACCCAGGATCTCCCCTCTCTGGTTGCTATCCCTAGAGATGAATTTTCACCATATGCCTGGACTTCATGGCTAAACCTCACCAACCAGTCAGTCCCATCGTCAATCCATGAGCTCAAGTCCATTTCTCCAGGTGGCCCTGCATCTTCTGCTCTGCAAGGAGAATGCCCTCCGCTCCAGCATCCACAGATGCCTAGGACCCTTTTCTTGAGCAAGAGGTTTCCTTGTGACTACCCAGACTGGCTAGAAGACCAATCACTTTGAGTGTTTTGCTTTAAAGATTCAATAACGGTGTTAAGATTTGAAAATGCAACGTTTCAACAACAACCAAAAATATCCTTTAGAGCAGATTCTCAACCCAGGGCAATTTTCCTACCCCTCACTTCACCCCCATATCTATTTGATAGTATCTGGAGATGCTTTTATTTGTCATAACTGAAGGTGCATCTGGCACTTAGTGGATAGAGGCTAAGGATGCTGCTAACATCCTACAACACACTAGACAGCCCTTACAGCAAAGGATTATCTTGTCCGAAACATTAATAGAGATGAAGGTGAGAATCGCTGCTCTAGAGTCGTTCAAATAGAACGTCCTATAAACAAAGCCTGACATAGAACAGTGGTATCCATGCACTAGCTAGCCCTTTCTATCTTGCAGTGAAAAGGAGTGTTACAGCTGGGAGAGGCAGAAGCTTTTATCACATACTATCCCCTTGGAACATCATAAACATTTTACTTCTGCCATAAGAAACCGACAGGGAAGCATTCAAGATTCATTCATTATTCTGCTTGCTGCCAGCACCCTCCTCCACAGGGAGAGACAGTGACGATGTGTCCTGAACTTTCACCATTCTTTCCCAATCTTTACATTTTGTAGCACATTCATAAAACATCTATTATTTATTTATTTTAAAAAGTTTACTCCTTTTCCTTAAATTTATTTCAAAAATAGAATTTATATCTCTGGCCCTATGGGAAACTAGTATCACTTGCCATTCATGGGAAGTAAGAGTGAAAATTGGTACAGTTAAATCGAAAGAGTGTCATTCTATTCCAATTACAGACTCTTGTTTGCCAAAGTTATTTGTATTAAAAAGTAAGGGAGATAGGTGTCAGAAAAGGGCTCGTGATATACCAGCACCACCAAACCAAGACATTCTGCCAGATAAATTCAGAAAAATTGAAAGTGGAAATGACTTTCTGATTTAGGTTACTATATTATATATATATATATAATATATATTACAATATATAAATATTTATATATTTATTTTATTTTTATATTTATTTATATTTACTATATTTAGGGAGCCTTACTCTAGGGATAGGGAGCTCTGGTGGCCTAGTGACAAGAAGCTGTGCTGTGGTTTGAGGCCACCAGCTGCTCCTCGGGATAAAGGTGGGCAATCTCCTCTGGTGTGATTAACTGCCTCTGAAAACCCACAGGAGGGTCACCTATGGGTAGGTTCTGACTCTATAATACGCACCACCACCATATCACTCTAGAGATGCAAGATGTTACAACTTGGCTTACTGAAATGGAGGACTTGAATCACTTGTTGCAAAAGACTAAACACTGTAGCCTTCAATTTGGATTGCATCTCAAGGACAAGAAAACAAAAATCCTCACCCCTGGACTGATAGGCAACATCATGGTGGATGGAGAAAAGATTGTAATTGTCACGTACTTCATCTTATTTGGATTCACAATCAATACACTTGGAATCAGCACACAGGAGATCAGGAGACATATTGCACTGGGAAATCTGTAGGTAGGGATTCTTCCAAATTATTGAGGAGCAGTGATGTCAGATTGAGGACTAATTTGCACATAATTCAGGACATGGTCTTTTTAATCACTTGCTATGCATCTGAGAGCAGGACAATGAATAGGGATGACAGAAGAATTGATGCCTTTGAACTATGATGTTGAAGAAGAGTAATGAATATCTTATGGACTGGCAAAAGAACAAACAGGTGTGTCTTAGAGAAGGTGCAGTTAGAGTGCAGTTGGAGGCAATGACGAGGAAGCTTTGCCTCACATGCTTTGAGCATATTTCTAGGAGAGTTTACTCCTTGGAGAAAGACATCATTGGAAAGGTGGTTTGACACAGTAGAGTATGAAGATGGCACAAGATAAGACAGACCTCAAATGTGTTATTCATAGGGTCACTATGAGGTGTACTCAACTCAACAGCACCTAACAACAACTCTATTGATACCACATTAGGCTCGGTGCCTGTGGCCTAGATTCCCAAATCCTAAGATGTCCCATGAACTGGGCATATGGTTTTGGAAAGTTTTCTTAGCCTCTCTGAGCTTCACCTTTTTCACAAGATCTGCTAATCTCTTTGAGCTATGAGAGTCAAGTTCAATAAAGTAAAGGGATACACTTTATAGACAAAGCAAGGAATAGTTATACTAAAAATCATATCAAGCACCAATATTATATTCTGAGGTCATACTTACTCCACTTAAATGTTCATTCTTCCATTACTAACCTATGAACTTACCTCAGTTTCAGTATCAACAAAGTGAACACGATAACTTGACCTCTCTCATAACACTGTCATGAAGCTTAACTGAGCTATTAGATGTGAAACACTACAAACAGTACCTAGAGAAATGAAGTATTTATGATCAGAAACTCTGGTGAGTAGACATGAGGGTCTTTAAGGCTTACAAGTTGTTGTTGTTGTTGTTGTTATGTGCCGTCGAGTCACTTGCGACTCATAGAAACCCTACATACAACAGCCCTAAACTCTGCTCTGTCCTGTGCCAATCGCACTGCCTCTGACACACCCATCCCGATTACCCCAGTCACTAAATCAATCCACCTCATAGAGGGCCTTCCCCTCCTGAGCTGTCCCTCCACCCTCCCAAGCATGATGTCTTTCTCCAAGAACCGGTCTCTCCTCACAACATGTCCAAAGTATGTTCGACGGAGCCTCAGAATCCTTGCCTCCAAGGAGCCACCTGGTTTGACCCTTTCCAGGACGAATCTATTTGTTTTCCTAGATGTCCATGGTATTCTCAATACTCTTCTCCAGCACCACAGCTCAAAGGCATCAATTCTCCATCTATCCTCCTTGGTCATTGTCCAATTCTCCATAACAAGTGATTGTGAAGACCATGGCCTGTATCAAACACACCTTAGTCTCAGAGAGACACCATTGCTCTTCAGTACTTTGAAAAGGTCCCTAACAGCAGACTTTCCCATGGCAATGTGCCTTTTAATTTTCTGGCTACTGGAGACAAGAGTGTTGACTGTGGATCCAAGCAAAATAAAGCTGTGTGCAATCTCAATCTCTTCACCATCCATCCTGATGCTGCCAATTGGTCTAGTGGTGAGAACCTTTGCCGTCTTGACATTGAGCCTTAATCCATGTTGGAGGCTGCAGTCCTTGACCCTCTACAGCAGGTGCTTCAGGTCCTCTTCAGTTTCAGCAAGCAGGGTTGTGTCATCTGCATAACGCAGATTGTTGATAAATCATCCACCAATCTTGACCCCACATTTCTCCTCATAGACCCCAGCCTCCCGGATAATCTGTTCTGCATATAGGTTGAAAAGGCATGGAGACAGGATGCATCCCTGGCGTACGCCCTTCCCAATTTTGAACCATGCAGTGTTACCCTGCTCTGTTCTGACGACTGCCTCCGCGTCCAAGTATAGGTTTCACATTAGCATGATCTAGTGTTCTGGGATTCCCATTCTTCTCAGAGTCAGCCACAGTTTGTAATGATCCACACAGTCAAACGCCTTTGCATAGTCAATGAAACACAGATAGACATTCCTCTGGTATTCTGTGCTTTCAGCCAAGATCCATCTAACATCAGCTACAATATCCCTAGTACCACGACCCCTTCTAAACCCAGACTGGACTTCTGGCAGTTCTCTGCTGATGTGCTGGTCCAGTCATTTTTGGACAATCTTCAGTAGAATCTTGCTTGCATGTGAAATCAATGATATTGTTCTATAGTTTCCACACTCTGTTGAGTCAGCTTTCTTTGGGATGGGGACAAATATAGATATCTAGTCAAATTATAAAAAATGACTTTGAGTTTTACTCCATTTCCCCCCTTCCACTCTGTCCAGGATTCTCTTTCGTAATCCCTTTTAGAGTGGTCAACAGTCCTTTAGTCATATGGGCAAATTGTTTCAATATGTCTTTGATGTTCTTCACTTTGCTCTGTTCTGGATGAATTTGTCTGTGGGAGCCTCAACCCCATGACCATGAGACTGAAAGAACTGAGTGATGCCCCACTACTACTGTTGACCACTCTAAAAGGGATTACAGAAGAGAATAGTGGACAGAGCGGAAGGGGGGAAAATTGAGTAAAACTCAAGTCATTTTTATAATTTTGGCTAGACCTGCTCTTCTGCTAGGCTAGTGGAGCAATTGATGGTCTAATAGATTATAGCCAAAAATTTGAAAAATGAAATAAACACCAGGAAGAAAACTCTCAAAGTTCAGATAATTCTTTCTTTAAATTATTTTTTTTTTCAAGAAGTAAGTAAAAATTCCTAAAGAATAACAACAGGAGGAAGAATACGGACCAGACAACTGCAAAAAACTGGGAGTGGCCTGGACTCAGAAATTTCTAGTGTGAGGTGGAAACAGTGATATTCCTTCCGACTAGAGGAATAATCGTGCCATATGTTACATATTTTTCTTCTCCTCTTCTCTTCTCTTTCTTAAGAAGCTGCCTTCCAAAATTAGTAACAAAGGCTAATTTTCCTATCCTTTGGGGTTTATATATTTTACAGAAGACTAAGGGGTGAAGATTGAGAGAGTCAACAGTTTCGTTTGCTTGGCTCCACAATCAACACTCTTGATACCAGCAGCCAGGAAATCAAGAGATGAATTGCATTGGAATAGTCAACTGTCAGGGACCTCTCCAGAGTACTGAAGAGCAACAATGTCAGTCATGAGACTAAGGTGTCCCTGATCCAAGCCGTAGTCTATATAATTGCTTTCTATGTGTCAGAGAGCTGAACAATGACTAGGGATGATAGAGAATTGATGCCTTTGAGCTGTGGTGCTGGAGAAGAGTGTTGATTATACTATAGACAGCCAGGAGGACAAACAGGTTCGTCCTAAAGAGGGTGAAACCAGGCTGCTCCTGGGAGGCAAGGATTCTGAGGCTTCGTCTGACATACTTTGGACATGTTGCAAGGAGAGACCTGTGCTTGGAGAGGGACCTCATGCTTGGAAGGGTGGAGGAACGGAGAGAAAGAGGGAGACTTTCGGTGAGATGGGTTGATACAGTGGCTGGAGTAATGAGGGTAGGTGTGTCAGAAACAGTAAAGCTGGAACAGGATAAGGCAGGTTTCAAGGCTGTTGTACATAGGGTCACAAATGACTCGATGGCACATAACAACAACAACAAGAAGAATGGGAAGGGTAGAACAGGACAGAGGCCAAGTGAATGATGTTATCTCAGTGCAGTAGTATCTGTGACGTATCCTTGCCCGTCTCTAGTATAAAAAGAGACTGTCTAGAATCTTCTATGAACATGGGTACTTGAGCGGCCAGAGTTCTGGTCCCAGTAACTATATGTATCTGCATGTGAAAGTGTTCTAAAATATACACAGCTTTAGTTTGCTATGACCACAAGCCAATTCCTCATGTTTTTACACTATCGGCCAAACTGAAAATTGAAGCCAAGACATTTTTCACACATACTTCAGCCTTCTCTGTGATGAAGTGATGATCACCACAGGGTTGGACAACAAGCTTCTGATTATGTAGCCTTCACCCAGGCCTCCTGGGAGAAATGAAGCATTTCCTTGAATAGAGAAGAAACTAGATTTTGAGTTGGTACCACTCCTCTGGTAGAGAAGACAGGGATCACATCCACTCACCTCTTCTGGTTTAGTGATACTAAACAAAGACAGTTGAAGAGGCTATCAAACCACCCTCTGTCTTTCCTCCTTCTTAGGGAGCATCCTGACGAGACCAGGACTGGTTTTGGCAGTGAGAGTCTTCTGCTTCGAGGCTGCACCATCAGAAACACCGAAGTGGCTGTTGGCATTGTCATCTATGCAGGTCATTGTCCCTGGGCTGCTTCTTCTCTTTTTCTTTATCACTATTCTTCCACTCTCCGCCCTCCTCCGACCCCCAGCCTCCAGGCCCATGTCATTCCCTAAGGCCTCAGAACAGCTCCAAAGGGAAGCAACATGTCACTTTCCATTTCTCATAAAACAGAGACTCGGAATCACGATGGCTCACTTCATCCACAAGAGACTATAAGATTCAGAGTTAGTATTACTCCTCTGTATAAGGCAGGGAGAGCTAGTAATATTCATTGCATAGTTTATGACTAACCCAAAGGCCTCTGGTGGTTCAAATTCAGTAGTGACTCTGAAAGACAAAGATAGGCAATCACCTCCTGTTCAATTTACAGCCTTAGAAACCTCTTGGATGTTCAGCTATAGATCAGTTTCAATTTGAAAGCTGTAAGTTCAAGATTTTGTTTTTTTGTTTGTTTAGGGTTATTGACATTGGCATTTTATTGACATTTTGGTCCAGGTTGTTTTTTGTTGTAGGGAGCTATCCTCTCAGAATTATGGGAGCATCTCTGGCCTATACCCCCTAGATGCCATTCTTGCTTTACCTAGTTTGATAACCAAAAGTTTCTTGAGACTTTGTCAGTGACCGCTGGAGGCGGGTTGAAATCATCCTTGGTTGAGAATGACTAGATTAGGGTTATCAAGGGACTTCATATGAGTCCCTCAAGTCAGAGGCCCAGAAAGGCCAAGCTGGTCTTTCCAGAGGAAGAGATCCCATGTGCAGGCTTGTACTTCTTCCAGCTGCTGTTATGATAATGTGAGTCACAAGAATGCAAGGTCAGAGCTCCTCCTGTGGACTACCGGGAAATATCTTAAAGGTAACAGAAAACTAATACTGAGTCTTTGTTTACATGTATTGATTCACCCTCTCCTGTGTACACACAGCCATTAATTTCCCATGCCCCCCTCACCCCACTGTGGATGAGGAAGTTGAGGTGCAAAGGATTAATTCCTTCAAGGCCACAGGTCTACCTACTGAGATTCCCTCTGTTCCCTCATGGCTGTCAAGGTGGAACCGACTCATGACTAACCCTCCGTTGGGTTCCCAAGGCTGTAAATCACACAGAAGTAGACAGCCAATCCACAAATCCACAGTGGATTCACACTGCCAGTCACCAGAGCTCTGTCTAATGCTAGAGTCCACATACTAATCAATAGCGTACTCAGCCCTCTTGATACAAAGGAAAAGAGGTGTTCACATAGATTTCCAGGAGTCAGGGGGCAGATGACCGTGGGGTGGCCTCACTACTCTTTGTGCAGGTTCAGCAGGTGGAAAGGCTATGGTCGTGTTGACACCAGCTGGAAGAGCCCATGGTGCCTTGAGAGCCTCTCACAACTGCGACAACTTGAGTCTCATTTAATAAGCCTAGAGTTTGTTCACTCCCACTGTTTTGTTGCCACTTTAAATCCACAAAGCAACCAGCTAAACAGTGTTAAAGCCATTCACTGCTGGAGCTGATGTATTGGTTTTCTTTAATTTTGCACAGAAAATATGTGTCTGGCGTTTTCTAATTTGACTCCTGAGGAGGCATCGCAGTAGTTACAATTCAGCAGCCCCAGAGGACAGGCTCTGACGAAAACAGTGTCGCAGTTTGGCTCTCAGCTCTTAGCTGTGTGGTGTTGGGAGGGAAGCAGGCAATCCCGAAGCTTGGCTTCAGTCACCTAAATGGGATGATACAAGCACCTCACTCATACAATTTTTGTGAGGATTCTAGAAGAAAAAAAATCATTAAAAGATTTCGTCCAACGTCTAGAACTGAGTATTTATGTTATAGTTTATTCTGCACATCAAAGTGATTAGGGTTCAGTTCTTCCCTAAACTTGGGTCTGTCACCATTCATGAGCTCATTCAATGAATACTTTCATTTCTAACCTGTCCTACGGGAGCTCTGATGATATAGTCTGTAAGCAGTTGCACTGTTAACCCAAAGGCTACATTTCTCTTGTGGTTCAAATCTACCAGAGAACTTACGTAATTGAGACAGTCCTCCCCCATACAATTTACAGCTTTGGAAAGCCAATGGCAGATCAGCTTTGAGTCAATTTTGACTTGAAGGAAATGAGAGAGAGACCACGTCATACGAGCTCTTGTTGTGAGTGTTTAACATGGTTGGCGACTAGCAAAGACTGGACTTTAAGTCCACCCACAGGCACCTCAGAAGAAAGGCCTGATGATCTAGTGCAAAAAGCAGTCATTGAAAACTCATTGGAACACAGTTCTACACTGACACATATGGGGCCACTATGAGTCACAGCTAACTTTGAGGGCAACTGGTTAGTGGTCGCAATGCTTTTATCACTGTAGCACCAAGGAAAGGACAATCTTGACTCATGGGCTTAGTGGCATTACCTAGAAGGAGCTGTGGATAACGGCCTACAGCTGAGGAGGGAAAGGTACAGGGTTATATGGGGTCCTACAACCCCTAGTATAAGGAAAAGCTGGTGGCCTACTCATACGGAATTGAACTACCAACCCAAAGGGACATAGTTCAAATCCACCAGATAGTCCATGGAAGAAAGAGGAACAGTCACTTCCCACAAGATTTACTGCCTCTGAAAAACTCCAATTTAATAATAGGTTTGAGGTATTAATCATCCATTAATGATCAAAAATAAGATGAGCTATGAGATGAAAGCAAGGATATCATACTTAAAGCGATCAGAAGATCATTACAAAGACAGAGGGGGAAGGGGGAGGAAGTAAGGCTGGGGAGATCCCAAAATGGATTTCAGAAGACACAATTAAAATTGCATTGGAGTAACATGAAGTCAAGGCAAAAAAAAGGGTTCAAACGTGAAAGATTTGAATAGAAAATTTCAAAGAGCAGCTCAAGAAGACAACGCAAAATATTATAATGAAATCTGCAAAGAGCTAGGTTGCTGTTACGTGTCTTTTAGTCACCTGTGACTTATAGCGACCCTCTGTACAACAGCTCTGATGCCTGCCCTGTCCTGAGCCAGTCTTACTGATTCCAACACACCTATCTCATTACTCCAGTTACTTTTTCAATCCATCTCACCCGGGGTCTTCCTCTCCTGCATTGTTCCCCCACCATTCTGAGTATGATGTCCTTCTCTAAGGACCAGTCTCTCCTGGCCACATGACCAAAGTATGTGAGACAAAGCTTCAAAACCTTAGCCTCCAATAAGAAACTTGGTTTTACCTTCTCCAAGACAGACCTGTTTGTTCTCTTGCAGTCCATGGTATGTTCAAGACTATTCTCAAGAACTACGACTCAAAGGCATCAATTCTTCTTCTATCATCCTTAGTCATTGTCCAGCTCTCTGATGTATAGCAAGTAATTGCAAAGACATGGCTGGATCAGGAGCACTTTAGTCCCTAGACTAATATTGTTGCTTCTCAGTATTCTGGAAAAGTCCCTCACCACAGATTTTTCCCAGTGCAATTTGTCTTTTGATTTCCTGACTGTTGATGCCAAGAATGTTGATTGTGTATTTGAATGTGTGGATCACAAGAAATTGTGGCTAACCTTGAGGAGAATGGGAATCTCAGGACATTTGATTGTGTTTATGCAAAACCTATACTCAGACCAAAAAGCGTTGTCAGAACACAGCAAGGAACCACAGCATGTTCAAAATCAAGAAAGGAGTGTGTCAGTCTGTCTCCATAACTTTTCAATCTATATGCAGAACAGATCATTCGGGAGGATGGGCTTTCTGAGGAGGAATGTGGCATTAGGAGTGGAGAAAGACTCATCAACAACTTGTAATATGCAGGTGACACAACAATCTTGCTTGCTGACACAGAAAGAGCTTTGGCCAGAGAATAAAAAGGGAAGAACTAGCTTGGAATTTCTTAAATGGAAAGAACTGAAAAACAAATGCAAACATTGAATTATAATACTGAGAGATGCCATGGGCAAATCTTGAATTATCCAGAAAGCATCAAAAGAAGATGGAAGAAATACAGAGAATAACTTCTCTAAAAAGTTGACATTGATAAATTTCAGGAAGTGTCAGGTGAATAAAAGTTAGTGGTAACAAAGGAAGAAGTTGAAGCTGTGTTGAAGACATTGGCACAAAATAAAGCCGGAGGAATAGGTGGGGCACTGGTTGATGTTTCAGCTAATAGTTGCAACCTTGGATGTGCTCATCAATCTGCCAGGAAATTTAAAAGACAGCTTCCTGGTCAACTGGCTGGAAGAGATCTATATTTATCCATTCCCAAGAAAAGTAATCCAACAAAATGTTGAAATGATCAAGAATAATATCCACATAACATGAAAGCAAAATATTGCTGGAGATCATCCAAAAGTGCCTAGAACAGTACAGTAGCAGGGAACTACCAGGAGTTCACGCTGGATTTAGAAGAGACTGTGACACCAAGGATATCATTGCTGATGTCAGTTATATTCTAGCTAAAAGCAGAGACTATCAGAAGAATATTTGTCTGTGTTTTCTTGACTATTCAAAGGTATTTGACTGTGTGGATCATAACAAACTGTGGCTAACACTGAGAAGAGTGAGAATCCCAGAATTCATAATTGTGTTCCTATGAAATCTAAGAGACCCAGAAGTTGTTGTTTAAATGAAACAAGGGGCAAACTTCATGGTTTAAAATCAGGAAGTGTCAGAGTTGTTTCCCTTCTGCATATCTATGCAATTTGTATGCTGAGCAAATAATTTGTGAAGCTGGATTCTATGAAGAAAATGGTAGTGTAAGTGTTGGAGGAAGACACATCAACAAACGGCTTTATGCCCATGACACAACCTTACTTGCTGAAAAGTGAAGAGAACCTGAAGCGCTTACTGCAGAAGATCTAAGATTACAGTCTTCAACATAGATTATATCTCAATGTCAAGAAAGTAAAAGTCCTTATCTCTGGACCAATAGGCAACATCATGATAATTAGAGAAAGAATTGAAACTGGCAATGATTTCATCTTACTTAGATCCACACACCACACCCTTGGTACCAGCAGTCAGGAGATCAAGAGATGTTTTCGAGAAGAAGTGAGATTTCAATGAAATCCAAGAGACAAGAAAGCTTCCACCAGGTTAAGAAATGATAGAAGAACATTCCAGGCAAAAGAGCAAGAAGAATGAATTCTAAACTGGGGACTAAAGTAGACAATTGTCTTCCCTGCTGGGCCTTGAAGAAAGAGTTGGAAGAGCTTTGGTCCAGGTTGGCTCCACTTCCAGATTACTAGGTGGCCAAGGGCAGGTAATTTACCCTCTAAGTGCCTCTTACTAATTTGTAAAATGGAAATGCTAATCTGATTTACAAGAGAAAACAAAAACTACAAACCAGTTGCCTGTGGAGTTAAATCTAACACATGGAGGGAGACCTCTTATGATGTAGAGTACAACTGTGTTTCATAAGGGTTTCAAAGTCAGACTTTTTGGAAGCAGATTTAGGTCTTCCTCCCACAAAGCCTCTAGGTGGGTTCAAACTTCCAACCTTTTGGTTAGCAGTCAAACACTTAACTGTACCAACGTAGGACTCCGACAAAAAGAGAAATGTGATATAAATGTTCTTGCAATCTATAAAATGTCATACATCATCATTTATTTAGCTTTAGAACAGCTTTTAAATGTATTAGAAGAGAAAGAATTCAGCCTGGCTTGACAGAGGATGTGTCTAAAAGAAGAGTCTTAGCAGAGCCATTAGCAATTGAAACAGACTAAGCTGACTGAATCCCAGTAAAACAAAAACAATCTGTTTACCACACATTTGCTCTTTCAGCCTATAAGTAGTTTTTGAAGCCCTGCCAAAGTCTGTTAGTTCCACCCAGGATCCCTGGAGGCTACTGGGTTCCCATCCTGCCTCTGCCACCAACAATGATATAACATCTTTGTTCTTGTTCCTTCATTTCCAAAATGGGGAAAATAATAGTCCCTTCCTTTTAGGACTGAGTGAAAACTAAAGGTATAATTGCATAACACAGACCACTGTTATATAACAGGACTGACATAGAGGGTTGGGAGAAAACTAAGAAAAGAGAGCATAGATAATGAGCACTGCATTGGAACAGAGGAAGGAAAGAACTGTTTAAAAAAATAGATGATTACGCATTATTTGTATAACAGTCCAGAATAAGAGGTGCATTGCAAAGTGGACTGGGGAGGGGTGAGAGGCAGGGAGAAAATTGTGCAACAAAAAATGGATTTTTTTTAAAAAATAAATAAGTGAACTGAGATGGGTAGGGAGGAAAATGTGCAGCAATAAGTGAATGAAAATTCAACTTTTCTGTAAACTTTTGTAAACATCATATTTTTTTTTAAAAAAAAACATGAAAAACAAAAAGAAAATCTAATAACAGGGCTTAGCTCATATGTGCTAAAGAAATGTTCAGGATTATTATTGCAAGCCTATTTTATCTTTTTTTTTCAATAAAATGTTACTAAAGTTTTAGTATAAGTTTTCACAGCAATACAAGTTCCCATTTGACAATTTCTTTATAAACTGGCAATATTAATTACATTTGAGACAGACTGTCAATACTCTTTTAATTGTGTTCTGTTTGTTATCCCTATGGTACTCTAGTGTTCCTGTACCCTTACCTTCCTATCTTTGCTTTTAAGAAATTATTGACTTTTTAGACTCATACTGATGGTTTTTAAGAAAGGTATCTCTCTTATGGACACTATACTTTGTGCATCACTCTGCCATTTCACTAAATGATGCTCTCGAGAGGTTTGGTTCTAGGCTGAAAGAATGTCTTGAGATGATAGTCTCATGGGATCCTATGTTCTCTACTGCTTCAGTTTGTAGGATGGGTTTAGTTTTTTTAAAAAAATAAGATGGATTGACACAATGAGTTCAACAATGGGCTTGAGCATGACTGATATCATAAGGATGGCACAGGATAGGGTGATAGACCTGTTGTTGGTAAGATTGCTATGAGTTATAATTAAGTTTACAGCATCTAACATCTACAAAAACAATGGAGAACAGAATCATATCACTTAATTCATTTTACCACACTGATCTAGTAAATTCAAACTGCATTGAAGGCACTGGCAAAAAAAATAACCCCCAGGAATTGATGGCATACCAATTGACATATTTCAACAAATTGATGTAGATCTGGAAGCGATCACAAGTCTGTCGTGGAAGAAACCAAGGTGCTCCTTGCAAGCATGAGTGGTGGAATGTCATCTTATATACTTTGTAAATGTTGCCACGAGGGACCAGCCCTTGGAAAACGACACCACCATGTTAGGAAAGACACCACCATGTTAGGAAAGGTGGAGACTAAAAAGAAAAAACCTCCGCAAGCTAGATTGATACAGTGACTGGAACAATGGGCTCAAGGGTATTAGAGATGGTGAAGAGGAGAGGGCAGGGTTCAGATATATTGTTCTGGGGTAATATTATAAGTCAATATTGACTAGGTGGCCCCTAACAGCAACTCTAATTAAGTGTCCTCCCCCACCTCCTGCCCTTCATCATAATCATCAATAATTTACCATCAATATTTATCTGTTCTTATCATCTTATAAACAAGGGGTTATATAGCATTATTTCTCATATGATTAGCATTATGCCCTCAGGTTGATCCTTGTTATATCAAGGTTCATAGACTTACCATTGTTTCTTATGGTGTGTAGTATGCAATGGTATGTATATACTACAATTTGCTTGGTCATTCATCTGTTGGTTCTTTTCCGTTTTCTTACTATTTCAAATCAATCACATGCAATTCATTGTCTCTGAAAATTTGCTGGAGGGTCAGCTATGGATTGGTTCCTAATTGACGACACACAACGACGATGGAGTACATATAAGGAGCTCTGGTTGCTCACTTATTACATTGACGATGCAAAGTACACCGAGTGTGCTTTATAGATGTACGCCACCTGAATCCACCAGATGGCCAGTCTCCTCTCTACTTTCTCCTTCTGAAAATCCACAGGAGGGTTACCAACAACTAACAAGCACTCATATTTCCCCATTTCCCCAAACTTCCCACATTCTCAGCACTTGTTGGAGATAACAACAAGGGTGTTTTATTGACTGTGTGTATTGGGGTGGGTACCGGGAGGGCTGTTTGTTGTGCCCTTTTAGCTGGAGTAAGATGATATCATATTGCCGTTTTGATTTGCATCTCTCTAGTGGCTAATGACTATGAATATTTTTTTGTGTTTGTTGGCATCTTAGACAGATGTCCTTTTGGTGAGGGTTCTCAGCTCAAATCTTTTGACTATTTTGTGAATAAATTGTGTGTTTTTAAGTCGTCACAGTTCTCTACAGATTTTAGAGGTTAGACTGTACAAATAAACTCTAAAAATATTTTTCCAGTCTGTAGGTTGTCTTTTTATTCTTTTAATAAAGTCATCTGAGAAGATGACATTTTCATTTTTATGAAGGCCCATTTACCTAGTTTGTCTTCTATTCATGCTTTTTTGTAAAAGCTGTTATCCTATTTTTACTAAAAACTAGGTCCCCTACTTCTCTCCCTATGATGTCTTTCAGGAATGGTACAGTTTTAGGCTTAACATTTAGGTCTTTGATGTATTTTGAGCGAGTTTTTGTATGTGGTGTGAGGCATAGGTTCTATTTCATTTTCTGCAGGCGGATATAAAATTTTGCCAGTACCACTTATTAAAGAGACTGTTTCTGCTCCTATTGAATGGATTTTGACACTTTATGAAAAGTCATTTGAGAAAAGATGACTAAGTTCAATTCTGGGTTCTCAATTCTGTGTCACAGGTCTCTATGTACTGTTTTTAGAGTGCAATGACTATACAGCCTGTCTTGATACCAGGAAATGTGAGCTCTCCTGCTTTGCTCTTTTCCTTCAATATTGATTGCTTTGATCATTCAGATCAGGCATATTTCCTTTAAAAGGAGCCATGGTAGTACAGCGGTTAGATGTTCAGCTGCTAACCAAAAAGTCAGCGACTCAGATTTGCTGGCTGTTCCATGATAGAAAGATGTGGCACTTTATTTCCGTAGAAATTCTAGCTTTGTGAACACTGTTGTTGTTACTTACTGTCAGTTGAGGATGACTCATAGCAACTCTGAACAACAGATTTGAACCCTGTCCTAACCTGTGCCAACTTGATTATCTCTCACACACTTGAATCTATTGCTGCAGTCACTGTGTCAATCCATCTGGTTGAGGGTTTTCCTTTCTTTCACTGACCGTCCACCTTTCCAAGCTTGATGTTCCTGTCCAAGGAATAGCCCCTCCTAACAACATGCCCTAAATATGCAGACAAGCTTCTCCATCCTTGCTTCCAAAGAGCACTCTGGCTGCACTTTTTCCAAGAATACTCAGCAACTCTATGGAAAATGACAATTGTGTCACTGTAGGATGGAATCAATGTGACAGTAACAGGTTTTATTTTCTCACAACAGAGAGACAGTACCTACTCTGGGCTGGAGGGAAGGAAAAAAAGGGACTCAAAGCCTGCTTCTCAGTTTGCCTCTGCTTTCAATTTATTCTTTCAGTTTCGACCAACCCGTTCCCCTCTCAGGTCCTCAACGTCTCCAGCTGGAAAAAGAGATGATTTAATGAGACAAGTAGGTTTTAAACTTCACTGCTCTTTATTTGAGCATAAGTTTGTGCAACATTTCAAATTCCGAAAGGAGAGGCTTGGGCCTAGCGTTGGGCGGACCACAACCTCCACGTCCTGCACTCAGTATCTCTGCCTGGCACATGGGATGCATAGCAAATACCTGATGACAAATTTGGTGAGGCCTTTAAAGCTGTTCTCAGCAACCTCTTTGAAGCAGGACAGGTTCTGGTTAGAAAAGGAAGCTTCCTTTTCAGCATAAGCTCCTGTAAGAGGGGCGGGGGGTGCATTCCAGGTCAGAGGCAAACAGGGTCTGATTGCCCTATTTTCTCTCAAAGGCCATGAGACAAAAGCCATGATGAACAACAGCGGTCCACGATACAAACGCAGCAAGATCGAGCGGCGCATGAACACAGACATCTTCTTCTGCATCGGGCTTCTCTTCCTTATGTGCCTCATTGGAGCCATAGGTATGGAATGTTCCAGAAAGAACAAAGTAGTAGTCCATACAGAGATAGGTGCTAAAATTGAATTGGAATTGTAGTTAGGAGTTTGCCAGAGGAGGTAGTAGGTGGGACAAGGATAAGGGTAGGACAGAATAGGCTGCAGTGAGGAGAAAGAGGTCATTCTTTGCCCCAGAAATGGCACATGCAAAGCATTTGTAAGCAGAGAATCATTTATGCAGAGGAATAATTGGCTGTTTGGTGATGCAAGCATGAAGCTAGGAATAAAGTCCTAGTCAAAAGCAGAGTAGAGACAAACTTTACAATTGCTAGAAACCTGGAGAGCTATGTACAGGCTTAGGTAGGAATAGCTGGGAGCTGTTTAAGTGGGTCTTAATAGAGACAAAGAGGTGCTCTGATCCACTACTAGCTCTTCGGCTTCACTCTGGACATGGTTTGCAGAAACTCTAGTGCTGGATCCCTAAATTCTTGCTGGTATAAAACCCATGAGCAGCAGTAGTGTTTTTACTTGCCTTACTTGGGAATCATGTCCATCATGGTTTCTAGCAAGTTGGTATCTGATGGACTAGGACCTTCCTGGGACTCAGAGAAATTCTGTGTTCTCCTACAGTCAAGATCCTCCCATTAAGTCACATGTGCGACCTGGAGTTTTAATTCATAGTCTCCATAGGACACTCCAGCACTCTGTGTGAGGGTGACTCACTGTTGGTGGGAGGAGCAGTCCCCAACGGGCACCTCTGTACCCCTCAAAAACACCCCTGGGGACATTGTTTCAATGTATACTTCGCAAAGGACATTTGAGATAATTTCATCTTTTTCTCCATAGAAAAGAAGCTAGTAACAAAGAGGTCACACCATGCTACAGGCCAATCAGAATCTGCAGGGAGGGTTCAACAAAATAGTATTAGGGTTAAGAAAATAATAGGGTGGGGACAGATCTCTCTTTTTGTGAGAATGACCATAGTTCCTCAGGGAGGTAAACGTTCTCAAGCATCATTTCAAGGTTCTTTGCCACATGTTTACAGTGATTTTGTAAAGGTAATCTTTCTTTGGCCTCTATCTGAGATGTCTTCCCAGACCTTTCTAACCACCCAGCACCTGACGAGGCTTCAAGATATCTCAAGGCGTCTTCTTTTATGATGGTTTCTCAAGGACAATGACCCTGAGCCACATGTTGGGCCTTTAGTCACCTGCTCTGTAATGTTATTATCAGAATGCATCATGTCTGCAAGTCTCCTTTTCTCAAATATGTATCATGTGATTGACTCAAGTCCTTGGGTGCAAAAGAGCCTTCAGACAAGACTGCATTCTCTATGTCTTTTTTCCCCTCTGAAGCTTGGAAAGGGAGCTGATGTTTTTGAAGAACATACTGCATGCTGTCACTGGACTGTGAGCGTTATACACACTAGGTTATACACACTAGCCTGTATGAAAAAAGTAGGATTGTTGACTAACAGGTGAGAGGTTAGGGATTCAGAAATCACGGTAGGAGGTGTCAAATAGGCTTCCTCTCATTCAATGCTCAGGGCATTATTATCTCTATTTTGCAGACAAGAAAACATTCAATCTGTGTCTGGCCCTGTTGCTAAGAACTCTCTTAGCATGTCAGGGTCTAATGTAGCATGTCTGTGCAGCATTTCTTGTCTATGTAGCCAAACTGTATAGGATTTCTTCTTCTTCTTTGTCTATCCCTCTAACACAGTAAGGAACTCCTTAAAGGCAAGACCGAGGTAATTCCTTCTTGAGTACACAATGTTGACTTGAAGAGTGGACGAATGGATAGATAGGTGAGTGAATGTTGGACGGATGGAAAGAAGATGATAGATAGATAGATAGATAGATAGATAGATAGATAGATAGATAGATAGATATAGATAGATAATTGTTGTTATTGCTAAGTGTCGTAGAGTCATAAGCGACTCATAAGGACCCTATGAACAAAAGTCCTCAACACTTGTGTGACTTTTATTCTTTGTCCAGGTTCATAGGGTTTCTGGAGGCAAGGTATTACAGAACTGGATGTCACTCCTGCTTCCAAGCTTGTTTTAATTGGGGAGTGCCACTAAACACTGTCCACCATGGGTAAACATTAATGCATTTGACACATCAGTGTCACAGTGTTCATCTTCACAGCAACCACAAGTTACCTCTGTACAGCAAGTGGACACACCAGGGCTATACAACCTAGAAGAATGTTTGAACAAAAACAATGAAAAACAGGCCTTAGGGCTGCGGATTAGAGTCACCCACTTTTGGCTTGGTAGCATCACTTTCTGTCCACTAGGCCAACTGATCTCTATGTTGGTGTTATTGTTGTTAAGTGCCATTGAGTCGTAGGTGAATCATAACAACCCTATAAACAAAAGTCCTCAACATTTATGTGACTTCATCCTTTCTCCAGGTTCATAGGGGTTCCGGACAGATAGATAGATATAGGATAAATGTATAATGGATGAATGATCAAGAAGGGTGTTCAAGAAATAAGTCTGTCAAGATTCCCAAGTCACTCAATTTCTGCGATATAGCTGAAAAGAACATATGTCCCTTTCCCTTTTTCCAATCTTTATACAACAAGGCTTCATTGCAATATAAATAATTTCCAAACTTAAAGGATTGAAGTTAAGGTTCTTTAAGAACCTTAAAGACCACTTTAGAGACAAATAAACACATTGAGAGCCATGCCATATAGAATGTGTATGAGTTCCTTCAAACATAGTTGTTTCTAAGAATGGGTTAAGGGCTGATGTAATTGATCAGCTTTAGGATTAAGTGGAGATTCTGCCCTGGCTTTGCCTCTTATCAGGTCATACTCTATGGAATGGATCATTTGAAGAACACCCTCCCTTCGATGTACCAGACGCCAGTGGGTACTTCCTTCCTGTTGCCCTCGCAGGCTTCTATATGTTCCTCACAATGATTATCCTGCTTCAGGTAGGAAACTCTCCCTAATTGGGGTCCTGAGAACACCAGTGACCTATATTCCTACAACCCTTCAAAGTAAAGGAAAATGAACAGTGGCCCCAAAACAGATACCTTAACTGAGATGGGGAAATGTTCAATGCTTTCTTGAAGGTCTTTGGAAGTATTCCCTGGGAATAATGTTAGGAGTCAAATACGCGCGCGCTTCCGCGCACACACACACACAAACATACATTAACATGGGGAAAATATTTCCTAGATTTTTCCTATTTAAAAGTAAGATTGTTCACTCGGCATACTCAGTCTCACAATGATAGATATTGTATAAAACCATTATTGTAGAATGAGTATAAGGATCCAAGAGTGCTGGGGGAGGGTGGAAGCAGAGGGATGAGGATGTGCAGGGAGAGGGGGGTTAATTATGGGGTTGTACAATTTAATGGGGGGGTGGGAAATTGAAAGAATCTGTTCTTGAAAACAATGTATTCTACTATAAAATGTTTTTTAAAAGTTAAGATTGTAATAGTGACTCATATATGCCTATCCCTTTGCTATATGTAAGACATATCAAACAGTAATAACCAGAGAACAAAAGAAGATAAAAGTAGCATAGAAAGCTTCAAAGAACTCTCATACCCCAAATACTGAGAGAAATAAATCATAAATTAATATTGTACCATTTGATTGATTGTTAAAAGAATAAAATTGACAGAATTGATTTAGTTGTTGAATATACCATCCAGTTGACTCTAACTCATAACAACCCTGTGAACAGTAAATTTGAATCTTGCCCTAACCTATGCCATCCTCACAATCTCTCATAGGCTCAAGCCCGTTATTCCAGTCAGTGTGTCAATCCATCTTGTTGGAGGTCTCTAACTTTAACCTAATTTAGGAAGAAAAAACAGGACCAACAAGAGGATGTGAAAGAGTAACAAATGAGACGAGATGAGAAAAATAAGCTTTATATGAAGAAATAATAATTTATGAAATATAAAGTTAGTTTTTGTATTGCTTCGAAAAATATCTATATACATTAACTTTCTTGTGGCGTTTGAGGGTGTCCTTTCAATTGGTGAATCTATTTCAAATATTCATTAATAGGTAGTAATTTTATTTATTTATTATTTTCTAAAATAATACATTTTAAAAGTCACTCATATTTAAAAACAAAGAAGAAGAAAGCAGAAACAAAACCTTGTTACCATTGAGGTGATTCTCACTGACAGCACCCTTGTAGAGTAGAACTGCCCCATAGGCCTTGCATGGCTATAATCCTTAAGGAAGCAGATTGCCAGGTCTTCTAAGTGGTTTCCGGCCTCCTACCCCTCTCCATTTTACTCATGTACTTCCAGCCCACAAACCTGCTGATGATCACACCTCAGACACCCAGGCAGAGTTTCAAACTGGTGCAGTCCAGTTCAGTCATGACCTGTGAACCAACACTGGTACAGACTTAAATTTTAAATGTGAGTGAATTAGAATACTAACTAAAATAGGAAAAAAATTCTAGGTCAAAGCACTATTGGAAACTTGATCACATTTAAAATCACATACACACCCATCCCATATAGTAAGTATGTGTTGTGTATTAATCAAATCTCTCATCCTATTGAATCAAAACCAGTGGCGTCTGGCTCATAGATAGCAGGAGACCACACTACTCTGTAGGTCCATGCACGTGTGTGTGCCACTGTCCACATTCCTCCCAATAACCTGCTATCATGCATCAGGCTCCTGAGAAGGCTCACTGTGCCTTCCAAGTCTTCCACTTCAGGGCTTTGACCTATACTGGTTTTTTTCTCCCCATTCCAATTAGCATTCTGGATCATCCACATGTTAAAATTCTCTATCTATTGTGGTTTTTCTGTCAGTCACAATAGAATCATTTCAAATTAGTCCAAAGCCTTGCAATGAATGCAGGATGCTGCCACTGCCCAGTCTACTTCCTACCAATGATTGACCTCCTGGTCGAAGGAGTCATCTCTCTTTTTCAGACTCCTTTAACAATTCAAATAAGTTTCCAAAGGGGGCATAAAGCCATTAACCTTTAATTTCTCAGAGAAAGTTTACCAAACTTCCCACTCAATACCGTTTCTACTTACAATCAAGATTCTAAGGGAGCCCTGGTGGCACGGGACAGAGGGAAGTACACGCTACCCTCTCTGGTAGTTTGAATCCTCTCTGGTAGTTTGACTCTGAGCAAAAAGAAGAGGGGCAAAATCCTCCAGTTTGATTTATAGCCACAGAAACCCAATAAAGGGTCAGCATTGAGTGGTTCTGACTCAAATGATGATGAAAGAGAATGATTAATATTCTGAGATATGAAGCCCAGTCAGATTCTGACACATTTTGAATTGATCTCCTCTCAGGTGCTGATCCCCATCTCTCTGTATGTGTCCATCGAGCTGGTGAAGCTTGGACAAATCTTCTTCCTCCACAATGACCTTGACCTGTACGATGAAGACACTGACATGCCCATTCAGTGTCGAGCCCTCAATATCACTGAGGACCTGGGCCAGATCCAGTACATCTTCTCCGACAAGACAGGAACCCTTACTGAGAACAAGATGGTGTTCCGACGCTGCACCATCATGGGCAATGAGTTTTCTCACCAAGAAAATGGTAATGGGGCTCCCAAGGTCCTCTGTCCTTTACTCTAAGAGTAAACACCTTGTCCTCCGAGAACAGAGGATAAGACATTGCCTTGGCCTCCTACAGATGTAATGGAGTATTTTGTCAAGTTGCTTTTTATCTTTGTGTTCCCTTTCATTACAGTTCAAAAGCTCCAAACTCTTATTATTCACAACAGTTCTAGCAGACCTGATATATAGTACCCCACCAATTCATCCTTCTTTTGGTATAATTTATGCATAGGGTTATATTATATGTCAGTGCTGGATTTGGGACATGTCACATTGGTGTCCCAGTCATATAGTCAAGGATTAAGGATTTTTAAGTTCACCTTACCTGAGATGTCAGGACAAACCTAGTTCTAGACTCATACACGTAGGTTATACTTTCCATACTAACAGATATCTCTAGTTTTCAATGAGGCAAAGCTACAACTGAGTAAGTATGGCTATAAAATGTTTAAATTCCTGGACTGTCATCTTTCGTAAATTGAAGATGACTTCTAAAAATCTACCTGTTTCTCTCATAAACCCCCACACTTCCTAACCAAGAGAAGAAACACTCAGGGAGCAGAATTCATTCTTATAGGTAAAAAGAAGCAGATCTAGAAATAAGGAAATAGAGCACTCTTTTAAAACCCCGATGGATAAATATAGACCCAGGTAAGTAAAATCTCTCAGTCACTAGGTAGGTAGGTAGGTAGGTAGGTAATAGAGAAAGAATTTGAACTTTTGTGAGTTAGTTCCTTCCCTCTACAGTCAGAATAGATCAGTTGTCGGCTATGCTCTCATACCAGCCCACAAAGCCTCAGATCTCCCCAATCACGACCAAGCCGAGGTATGATTGGAGCAATTACAAGACTCCTTTTCTGCAGCCAAACGACTGGAGACTCCTAAGGAGCTGGACTCAGATAGTGAAGATTGGACTCAATACCAGTGTCTGTCCTTCCCTGCCAAATGGGCCCAGGGCCCAGCAACTGTGAGAAGCCGAGGAGGTTCCCAACCTCTGAGGAGATGTCATAGTGCCCGGATGCCCATCCAGGGCCACTCTCGACAAAGGTCCATGGGATGTTGTGAAAACTCACCACCTCTTGTGGCCTTCAGCAGCCCCCTGGTAAGTGTCTGCTTTTCCTTTCTTTAATTTGACATATACCATTAGAAGAAAGCTGAGCACAGCCTCTGGGGTGAGGAAAAGACTGAATAAATCTTGAAAAACTCTCAATATTGCAACCTTTGATCCCATTATGTTTTGTTATGGTATATACTTTTTTATCCTTTTAAATATGTGTCAATGTTTCAAATTGGGAGATTTCATATTAAAATATACATATTTCTGGTATTTATTTCTAAAATGCAATTGGAAAATTTCTCTACCATAAACCAGAATTTTCTGATTAGAAATTTCTAATAGTAGTCTCAAGGAAGAAGCAGATGTCCCTTATCATGTTTTTCAAAGAATATGATAAAATATTGAGCATATCTTCCCAATAATGCAGTTAAAAAATCAGTAACCATTAAGTCCACCTTGATTCAAAAGATAAATCTTTGTCATATGCAGGTTTCTACCAAAGTTTAAAAATAAGTCTCTAAATCTTACATTTTTGAGAAAAAAAAATGATAACATATACTTGTATAGTAATAGCAATTTAAATACATTTAGGGTTATTAGGTAAAGAAAAAGCATATCTGTGAAAGTTGCCCACTCACTTCATCCCTTAGATTATTTACCTGACCCTTAAAGCAGTCATGTTTGCGACTTTTGGTCTGAACTTTCTCCATGGGGTTCTTTGATTCATTTGGATAGCTGCCTCAGGTAAATAGTGATTCTAACACAGAGATCCTGCCACGTGGAGAGTTTTAACAAACAGAAATGTATTGTCTTACAGTTAGTTGTAATGAGGGATTCCAGCTTTGTTGTTGTTGTTGTTGTTATGTGCCGTCGAGTCTCGACTCATAGCGACTCTATGCACAACAGCCCTAAAAGCTGCTCTATCCTGCGCCAACCGCACTGCCTCTGACACACCCATCCCGATTACCCCAGTCACTGAATCAATCCATCTCATAGAGGGTCTTCCCCTCCTGCACTGTCCCTCCACCGTCCCAAGCATGATGTCCCTCTCCAAGGACCCGTCCCTGGTTCCAGCTTTAAGAGGAGCTTTATTTGTATTTTCTGGTTCTAGGAATTTCACACACACATACAAGAACTAGGGCCAAAATATATTCCATTCCTAGGTCTTCTTTCTTCATAGAGTGGTGGACTCTTCTTTGTTAACTTTTCTCACTTCTTATCTCTTGTGGGATGTTACAGCTTAAAACTCAAAGAGATTCCCTCTGTGACAGGACTAATGGCATTGCATCCCACCCTAATCCCCTTACAAGTTAATCACAATCAACGTGAGAGATAATTGATTGCATAATTGCTTTAAATCCTACCTTGTTCCCATCATCATTTTCATTACCGACAAGTCCGGGCTGACTCATAACTAACTCTCCAGTAGGTTTTCAAAGTCTGTAGACCACGTAGGAGGAGATTGTCCATCTTTCTCCCTCAGAGCCACTGGTGGATTTGAACTGGCTGCATTTTTAAGTTAGCAGCATAATTCCCTATGATTATGCCTTCGAAAAAGGGCGGCTAGAGTGATCCTTGGAAGCAAGGATGACAAAGCTTCATCTTTCACACTTTGGACATATAGCTAGGGGAGGCTATTCTTTGGAAAGGGACATCTTGGAAAGATAGAGTGTCAGTGAAGGAGAGGAAGACCCTCAATGAGATGGATTTATACAATGACTCCAGCAATGGACTCTAGTGTGTCAGAGATGGTGAGGTTGGCACAGGACAGGGCAGGGGTCAGATCGGCTGTACATAGAGTCGCTATGAGTTGTATTTGACTCAACAGCACCTAACAATAACAGCGATGCCACCAGTTTTATCTAAGTTCCGCATTCTGTTTGGACACCTTTCTTGAGCATGAGAACAAATATGGATCTCTTCCAGTCAAATGGCCAAATTTTCTAACATAGACGAGTTTGCACATCCAGTTCTACATCTGTTAGTTGAAAAATATCAATTGGTATTGCATTGATTCCTGGAACCTTCCCCCCCCCCCCCCCCCAGTGCCATTGTTTCAGTTTGGCTTCATTACCTTGGCTCTTGCTCATATGGTACTTCCTGAAATTAGTTCCTGAAATTTTCAGTGTCAACTAATTATTTTTCATACAGTATCTCTGTATATTCCTTTCTTCTTCTTTTGATGCTTCCTGGATCATTCAAGATTTTACTTATAGCATCCCTCAGTGTTGCAATTCAAGGCTTGAATTTATTTTTCTTCTTTCAGCTTGAGAAATGCCCAGTGAATTCTTCCATTTTTTATTCTCTGACTTCAGTTCTTGGCACATTTCATTATAGTTTTTGCTTTGTCTTCTCAAGCTGCTCTTTGAAACATTTTGTTTCAGCTCTTAAGCATATCTCCTTTTGTTCTGGCTTCTAAATGATTTAATGCATTTTTCATAGTCTTTTTAATGACCCTTTGATGTTTTCATGGATAATATCTTTGATGTCTTTGATCATTAGTGTTCAATGTCTCAAATCTACTCCTGAGACAATTCTTAAATTCAACTGGGATAGGCTCAAGTTTATATTTTGGTTCCTGTGGACTTGTTTTCATTTTCTTCAGCTTCAACTTGAACTTGCACTCGTGTAATTGATACTCTGTTTCACAATCAGCACCTGGTCTGGTTTTGGTTTTGACTGCTGATATTGCACTTCAACAATTCTTTTCACAGATATAGTCAATCTTACTCTCTTGTGCAATACAGCAGGTGAAGTTCATGTGCAAAGTCACAGTTTTTAAGGTTTTAAAAAATATATATTTTCCATTGAGCAAACAAAATCAAATCATTCTCTCTCCAACCTCATTTCTGTCACCAAGTCCATATTTTCTAACTGCCAACTTTTCCATTCCAGTCACCAATAATTATTAATACATCTTGATTGCATGTTTGGTCAATTTCACATTATAGAAGTTTGCAGAAAAAAAATAAGTTTGCAGATGCCCAATCTCCTCTATTTGGTTTTTGTTGTTGATGAATATAATTTAATAATGTAAAATTATAGGGTCGCTATGGGTAGTACTTGATCCGACAGCACCTAACAACAATACTTTGATAATAGTAGTTAACAAGTATTCTTTGTATGTGAAATAGTATCCTATCACTCACAATATTATACTTCAGGATAAATCCTGACATTTTCTTCCTAATTATGAATGCAACACCATTCTTCTTAAGTGTGTTTTTTTTCCAGCATAGTAGGTCATGACTGATTCAAAGTGATGCTGAAGATCAGTTTAAAACAGCTAGAACAGTGCCTTGACAGGCACCTCTTAGAAATTCAAGTAGGGTTTAGAATAGGCCATGTCACCAGGGATAGCAACGCAGATGTCAGATGGATCCTCACTAAAAGCAAAGAATACCAAAAAAAATTGTCTATTTGTGTTGTATTGTGTATGCAATGTTATTTAACTGTGTGGATCATAACAAATTATGGTTAACTTTGAGAAGAATGGGATTCCCTGAACACTTGATTGAGCTCATGTGAAGCCTATACCTACACCAAAAAGCTGTTATCCAGTCAGAGCAAGGAAAAATAGCATGGTTCAAAATCAAGAAAGGAGTGTCTCAGGGATGTATCCTTTCTCCATACCTATCCAGTCTGTACGCTGAGCAAATAATTTGTGAAACTAGAATTTATGAAGAGGAATGTGGCATCAGCATCAGAAGAAGACTCATTGACAGCCTGTGTTATGCAAATGGCACAACTTTGCTTGCTGAAAGTGAAGAAGATGTGAAATAATTGCTGCAGAAGATCAAGAGTTATAGCCTTATCTATGGGTTAGATCTCAGCATCAAGAAAATAGAAGTCCTTACTACAGGGCCAATAGTCAATATCGTGATAGATAGAGAAAGGGTTGAAGCTGTTAATAATTTCATCTTATTTGGACCAAAAACGAACACCCTTGGTGTCAGCAGTCAGGAAATCAGAGGACATATTGAATTGGGAAAGTTTGCTGTCAGGCACCTCTCCAAAATACTTAAGACAATGACCTCAGTTTAAAGACTTAAAGTGCTTCTGATGCATGCCATGGTTTTCACAATTACTTGATATGCATCAGAGGGGTGGAAAATGACTAAGGATGACAGAAGAATCAATGCCTTTGAGTGTAGTGCTTGTGAAGAGTGTTGAACTTTCCCATGAACAACCAAGAAAACAAACAGATTTGCCATAGAGAAGTTGACACCAAGATGCTCTTTAGAGGCAAGAATTTTGAAGCACTGCCTCACATACTTCCAGCATTTTGCAAGGAAGAATCAGTCCTTGGAGAAGGACATCACACTTGGAAGTATGGAGAGACAGTGCAAGATAAGAAGATGTTGGATAAGAAGAACTAACACGATGACTGGTATAATGGGGTTAGGTAAGTCAGAGACAGTGTCAGAGACAGTGAAACTGGCTCAGGATAGGAAAAGGTTCAGAGCTATTGTGCATTAGAGTCACTGTGAGTCACAGACAGCTCAAGGACACACAACAACAACAACAGCTTATGAGGAACCATGAACAATATGAAAAGCCTTTTCCTATATTTTCAATCATCTGCAAATACTTTGCTTACAGTACAGAAGGAGCTGTGAGGTTTTATGGCTAAAGCCATAACCAAGATGTCAGCAGTTTAGAGGACCAGTTACTCCAAGGGAGAAAGATAAGGCAGTCTGGTTTATCTTTACTTCTTTGGAAAGCTTCTGGAGCAATTCTACTCTGTCCTTCAGGGTGGCTAGGAGTCAGGATCAACTGGACGGAAATGGATTTTACTACAATCACCAGGTTGTTCTAAAAGCAATATAACACAGTGATTATATTGACCTGCAAGATCCCTGCAGATGTGAATGTGGTACATGTGGGGTCAAAGGCCCTGTGTTTTAATCTCTGTTACACATTTATCAAGTTATTAGCTCTGGGTCTTTGGTCAGCTTACTGAACTATAAAAATTTCTCGTCTTGGTTGTTCTGCCTCACAAGTTTAAAAAATGTATTCTTAAGTCATATATTCTAAACAATGGA